AGGGTTGACCAAGTTACAGAGTTTCGCTCCCTTGGCCTTGTCAGGACATTCCTCACACCGCCTCTCGCAGCACTTGACATCTATCTATCGCCTTTTCTCTCGTGCACGTGTCTCACGTGGTACTACACTCTCGCAAACAAAGCCCTCGTCTGGATGTTGACGATGAAAAGAACCAACCTCCCAAGGCTAGCTAGATGGTAGAAGATCATCCTTTTGGATGCGTTCTAAATTGTATCTACAGTATTCCCTTCGGAGGTCCAATACTGCTCATCTGCATCTGCCCATCTACGATTCCACACCTGCTCAGGTGGATCGGCGTCATGGTTCGCCATCCGCTTGCTCTCCTCGACCTGTGCGCTACTTGTGCAAAGCTGAATGTCCGTCCAGGGCCTCCATAATAGTAATGCATGAAAATATATGATTAACAGTTGCCCAAAAGAAACATCAAATTATGATTTATTATGGACTATATAAGCTGTTTCGACTCTCTTGGTCTTTCGGCACATATTTGCACCTGGCAAACATGCGGCTTGGAAAAACACAACACCTTCAAACGCCATGTGCTTCCAAGCGCAGACTCAAACGCCAATAGCCCAAACCTATTGAAGTACGCAGTCTTCGGACAAGTGACAACAGTTTTTGTCACAACAAGCCCACAGATCGGATGCCAGTCCTGATACCCTGAAGCGATGACTCTGTCGCACCAATGTGTGCCACGTGTGCCCGTGGCGGGCCAGGTTTTGGGTCGTCGATTGGATTGAAGAAAACACGGTGGATGGGCAAGAAGAGGGTACTGACTGCAGAGGTAGGCCCATGACGGCCATCAAGTTCGGGGTCCTGTTTATTTCTGCTATTCAGTAGTCTTGCTGTCGTTTTGTTCCATACATGTGCTGTCTGGACTCGAGTGGCACTTCGTGCTTGCCCCATCCAAAAGATTCCAAAAGTATGTGTGTGTGTGGGAAAGCTTGAAATGTAAACAGTTGCTTGAAAACGTTCGGGCCACGATTCCAGATACTTCTCCACGGACCCTGCCTCAGCCTTCAAGTCTTCAATCTCGACCACATGCCTGTGGCCCGAGCGGCTGGGAAGGCACCAAAGAGTGGTGAAACGGATCAGATCGGATTCAGATCCAAACCGGCTCTGCCACGATGTGCATTGGTAAGCCACTTACTGTGCCAATCTTTCCTGCTCCACTTCCCGAAAGCATACCTGTTGGTGAACACGCAAAGAGCAAGCATGTGATTTCATGTGATGTTCATCCATGAAAATGGGCCGAAAACGCCAAGCGCCCCCCCACACCAAGCCACAGGCTCGCGAAAACACCAAGGTACTGCGCCAGGACCTGCTCGATGAGTTGCAGGAACTCGGTGGAGATGCGCTCCGTTACGCGGATCTGCCGTTTCCTGAGGTCTCAGAGCTCTCCGAGAGGACACTACAATCAGGGCTCCTGGCCTTACTACTAGGAACAAGGACGCTACTAGGGGCTCCTGGCATCGCTACTAGGAACAAGGACGCTACGAACGGAGCTTTTTCGGTTGGGATGGGCTTGCGATTGGGCGTTGGGCGATTGGACGGCCGGGCGGCTTCACAGTTAGGGAGCTACGAACGTAGCGTCCTTAGCTCCTAGTGGGATCGTTTGAAGATGAAGAGAGGCCCCAGGCCCAAGACGTTTGTTTGAGTAACATCTGTGGCAGTTGCTTGAAGCGCAGTGCCTTTTTGGAAGCCTTTGAGTTGCTTGAAGGGCCTTGAAGGGGTTGCGGGTGAATGTCACACTGTCGGTTTCCCTCAAACCTTCCCTCTGTCGGTCGCAGTCAGATATTCTGTGTCCTTCGAATGTGCAAGCCGTTGCACATCGATCTGGCAGTATACTGCGCTTTGAACAAACATGGTTGGGTAGAACAAATCCAGTGTTTAACGAAGTTGATCCTCCAGTACCCTGTTCAATCACGATCTAGATTCTAGATTCTTTTCAACCAAGAGTGCAAGTCAGCTAGCTTCTTGCCAGGTTTCTGTGCTGATTGAAATGTCCCACTAAATCCTCCCATGGCATGCCTTTTATGCTCTTCCAAAGCACCACAAAGCCCTTGATGGGACCTCCTCGGTCTTTACTACCGAATCCACCCCGCGGGCGGCCGGATCATCGTCACAGCGAGGGGACCGTCACAGGTTCTCCTCCTCCAAAATGGTGGCGGCCAGGCCGCAAACAGCTGTGTAGCGCTATATTCATGCTGTCTAAATCTGTTTAAATACCAGGTCAACAGATTTAACTTAGATTCTAAAATTTAAACAGCCTGAATACATTCAATACCTAGCTGTCATTACAACACCAGGTCAAGGAGTCATTTGGGGGATGGGTCATTCAACCTAGAGCTGCACAGCGCCAAGTCCACGTATGTAGCCAAGGTTGGTCAAGCGTCTCAGGGGGGCCTCTCACTCCTCAGCATCGACGGGGGCCGAGCGGTCGAGGTGGTCGACGGGGCCCGTGAACAAAGGAGAATTGCAGGCGGTGGTCGAGTTGGGCGGTCCTCCAACAAGAAATAGAAAACCTATTTGACCAACAAGTTCTTGCTCGTTGGTTCCACTGGTCATCCTGGTGATCCAGTGGGTCAATGAAACACAGAGCACTCAGAGCACTCACCCTTTTCATCCCTTTTCTACATGACTTGCCCGGCTGGCCCTCTGTGTTTCAGCCGCACCCAGGTATCCAAAGTGAATGGTCTTAGGGGTCTGGCCATCACTTCGAGTTATCCCGTTGACGTATGTTGACATGCAGTACGCAGCCACCGACCCGCACAGCAACCGACATGTCAGTCGATGGCAGGTACAGGAACCACACTGCGCCCTTGCCAAAGTTAACTCCACATGATCTCCATCCATCCAAACCTTGTCACGTCACCTGCTCTTTTGGAGAGGAAAAAGTGTCACCGCTTGATGTGTTTTGAGCCCGTCCACCCAAAGCATGCCAAACCAACCTCCGGTTTGGCGTTCCCAGCGGCGCAATGGGTTCCAGGTGTGCATCTGGTCCCTGCAAGCCCTGGAAGCCTCAGCAAGATGTCGAACACGAGGATCAAAGGACTCGCAACGAACACCCTGGCCTGAGTCCCCACCATTGAAGCAGTTTCGGAAAGGAAAGACCAGAAAAGCTACAAAAAGAGTCAAAGACCCCAACATCTACAATGTATGATGGTGCGTCCACTGGTGGGAGCAAGGACGCTACGATCGGGGCTCCTGGCCTTATGACGAACGGAGCAAAAGCTACTAGGAACAAAGGGGCATCGCTACGAACGGAGCAAAGACACTACTGTGAGTTCAGTTCTTGGAGGATCCACCAGTCACCAGGGCTGTCGAAGCTTGACTCACTGGCCCTTTGCTTGAGGATAGAAACCATCTGGGCATGTACCAAAGCCTAAGGTAATGCAAACCGTCGTCGATTTCTGCAGAAAGGGTACTGCCCCCATTCAGATGTGTTCTTAGACAAAAAAATATGGTTGACCCACAATACTCAGCAGGCTGATAACACTCAAGTCATGCAAGTCTGATGTTTTAGCATCATGCAAGTCTGATGGTTCACACATCTTGATGGATTAATTTTGGCTTCTGTGCTGTTTACGTCCGTTTTCCTTCCGAACAAAATATGTGGTGAGCAATGAGCAATGTGACATGCGAAGCTTGGCCCAGGAGAGCCCTGAATCAAGAGTTGTATTCTGGTCACTTATAGATATGTTGCCAAAACCAAAGACTTTTGACAATTTTGTGTTTGCAAAATAACTTTACCCGCCCGCAACCTGTTGAATCCTGCTTTTGTTCCTGGAATTGCTTCTTGCATGAAATCTGAAACATGATGAAACCATCATCCACTCCTGGGCGTGGATATCTCATGGTTCGGTGTTCATTTTTGTGTTGGACCGATCTATCTTTCTTGTCCTTTTCCATGGGCAGCTGCTGGGAGGTGAAAACTAGGACGTGCATGATGCACTCTTTCATACTCTTTCACCTCCCACATGTCAAACAGCGAACACCATCACCTGCACCAGGTCCAGATCTTGCCCATGCCGAGGCACTGCCGGCAGAGGATGCATCGTCGTCCAAGTTGTATGAGACAAAACTCGCCCTGCTTCCTTTCTCCAGGGTCGAACTCAGTGTGCTGCCACGATTCATCGTGCCAATGCGGTAGAACTCGCGGAACTCTCCGCGTGTGGAATCCAGCAAGCCACGACGAGCGCAGTGCTTTCACGTGCGCTGTGCAGCGAATGCTTATGGCGCAGCGTGGTCTTAGGACGCGCCCGATGGGGTGAAGTTGGATCGATCAGCCCTGATGGGCTGGATGAACTCATGAAATAGAAATTTAAGAAACTATCTCCAAACAAGGGCTGTGGCCGGTGTCTTGAACATGTCTCGTCTTCCGTTGAACAGCTGATTCCTGGAACCAAGAGTCGGAACACCGGGTGAGGCGATCCGCGCAGGGCCACGCAGAACACTGCTTGGGAATTCAGACACAGAACGTCCGTGCACGTCACATGTTCATCTTCGGATCGGAATCCGCGCTAATCCGGAAAGAGAGGGAAGAAGATTGAATCCTCCAGTGTTCCGGCGACCTGCCACCTCCCGAGAAGCGTTCTTCTTCACCATGAAAATCGTTGACCGCAAAAGACTTCGCAACTCAAGCCTTCCGACATGTTCACCGCTGGGCTCGCGGCACCCAACCTGAATCCTGGAAAACCAAGACCGAGGTGGACATGTCAAAGTACGGTAGAAGTGTTACATCACAGATCCCATGGCACTTCCCTGTGCAATGATGCCATAGATCAAATGTGGTCTTCAAGTGTCTTCAACACAAGACTTCCACTACACTCCAAAACACAAAAAAGTCACAATGCCCAAGGGTATGCCTTTGGCAACTCACACGACTCCATGGGCTCGAACGAAATGGCTTGGCTACAGCATGCCCTCATCACCCACCGGTCTACGGTCTACTTCAGTCACCATGCCACACCCTTTTTGCGGCTGCATCCTCCACTCTGCGTAGAGCACCGGTATTGGACTATCGAACAGGACCCAACCTTCGGGCAGGGTCGAAAATCTCCATCTGTCGTCGGGATCGATTTGGACCACACGGACGGCGCATGACCACACAGTCGCCGTCAGTCTGCCTGGTGCATGGGCGCAGGCACTTTGCTTCGGTGGGTTTGCGCCACCCTTGCCCAATCAAAACATCTCCCCAGGGTCCGGGCGGGGACGTAATGGTTCAACCGAGCTCAAGTTGAAAATGTGATGTACAACAAACTTAGAAGCCTGTCGTGTATATAACTGTATGCGACGGTCAAATTTTGCTGTGGAGTTGCAGGTCATCAGGATTTGGTGTGTTTCATCGTTTTTCGAGCAAAAACATGCATTGTGGAATCCCATGACCACTGCTACTAGCGTCTTTCCAAAAGGGCCCTTTCAGGCATCCTGAAACAGGCATCCTGAAACAGGCATGACGCCGCATCATCCACGACATGTTCAGCACCCATCCGAACAGTCAGCCGGAACCGGCCTCCATCATGTTCACCTCCATCGTGTATCGTCCGGCGGACGTCGTGTCAACGTTCGGGCGGTCTCCACAACACTCCTCGCCCCAGATGGACGCGCCAGGTGCTTTCGGTGGGCTGCCGAGGGGGGGGCGGGGTGTTTGTTCACCACGGGCGTTGCGAAATCAGATCTGCTAAGATGCAGTCTCCAGCTGCGGAAGAGGATTTCCTCCAACTTCAAGAGGCTGACTCGGTAGCAAAACAAACCACCAACAAAAAAGAATGATCCATCCATCCCGCAAATGGATCAAAGTCTCTTATTGAACCACCGATGTCAATGAAGATACTGAATATATAATATACGACATGTTACGACTGCATGCGCTAGCCGCTAGCCGCTAGCCCTTCCCCTCCAGTTGCGGTTCCTCAGTCCCTTCGCTGCTTCTTAGCTGCTGGGCCGATGGGCTCCTCAACTTCTGGACCTCAAAGAGGTCATTCGTTTCAACAGGTTTTCAACGTGTCCATGGGTTCGCAATGGTTCGCACATGGCTACCAGTTCACCCAAATTCTCTGTCTGGTGAAGTATGGCCATGGACTGTCCAGTGAACGGTCCTTGAAGTTGGTCAGAACGCTAGAAAAAGGTCCCCGAACCACAGCGGTATCAGATATGGAAACCCACAAGGGGCCCACAAGTGGATGGAAGTCGAGAAATCTAAGTGTAGTCTGTTGGCGACCCCTTCACACTATTGCTGATTCTTGCTTCCACTATACAAGTGGGGAAGGGATAAGAAAGGTTCATCCTGTTCGATACATCCGCTCAAAAATAAGTGGACGGGAGCAACTTCTGTTCGCTCCATTTTGGATACTATGGGGCAGATGTTTTGGGGATCAAGCGTGGATGTTTCGGTGTGTCAAGACACGCATCCGCGGATGCGTGTCTTGAGGGCCTCAATGATGAAGGCTTTCCCTCAAGCATGTCGTATGTGGAGAAAAAAACAAGATGGAGCCCACGAATCCGAATGCAAACACGTTCGAAAAGCCACATATGTCTAAATGGCACTCTTGTAGCACACTCTTCTGGGTCACTCTTGTAGGACACTCTTATAGGACACTCTTGTGGGACACTCTTGTGGGAGACACTCTTGTGGGACACTCTTCTGGGACACTCTTGTGGGACACTCTCATGCGACAGTCTTGTGGGACACTCTTGCAGGACACTCTCATGCGACAGTCTTGTGGGACACTCTTGTGGGACACTCCTGTCGCTCACCAGCGAACGTAACTTCGCCACACGGCTGCAGCAAACATATCACATGATACCACCAATCAGCCCGCTCACCAGCGACACGCCGCGCTTACGCCAGCATGTTTCGCGCTCCCCAGTGGCATGGCGCCACGTAAACGCACTTTCCACCAAGGCTGCGCAAATCCGCATAGCACTGCGACATCACGAACGAAATTTCGCCACACGGTCTGCCCGCACACTAGAAGCGTTTCCTACGAGACTTCCTCCAAAAGAAGCGTACAGTCTCCAAAACGAGCGTTTCGTAAATCCCGCTTCGAGTCTGCAAGACGAGCATTTCGTACGAGACTTGCTCCAAAAGTCACACGTCAAGTCTCCAAAACGAGCGGTTAGTACGAGACTTCCTCAAAAACTCACATGTCAAAGTCTGCAAAACGAGCGTTTCATACGAGACTTCCTCCAAAAGTCCATCGGAGCACACACATCACGCAGCCCTGCCAAGCAGTTTCGCGATTCCAGCACCTCCAAACAACGCCCGCCCACACGCCAATCCCAATGTCACAGCGACATTCACCTCTACCACGACTCACAACCTCACGATTCCCTGCGCCTGCCACGAAACTTTCCGCGTCCACACGTCTAACGCGCACGAAGTACTGCGCCTGCCACGAAATGTTACCTCTGTCACGCCTCGCAACTTCACGATTCCCTGCGCCTGCCACGAAAATCGTACTTCCACCCCTCAAAGCCCGCGCAAAGTACTGCGCCTGCCACGAAAAGTATATAACAATATCAAGTCATGTGAGCTGCTGCAACAAAATTTGCACCACACCACACCTTTGGAATGACTTCGACCCGTTCTGAGCACACTCCCATCCAAAATCACAATTTCAGCTGAGACGTGTCACGAAAACAGAGCTTCGACGCGACATCCTGAAACGCAAATCCTGATGGCACGGCCACATCCAACACCCCAAAAACACAACTCTCCAAACGCTAATCCCAATGGAGCTGCGCAGAAAACTGCGGATCTCACAAAACGCTGTGCCTGCACAGTGAAATCAACCTCCATACTTCAACATCTTACATTTCCACACGTTTCCACGCTATTTCACACGAATCTGACACGTCACGTTCTCATCCGAAGGGCAGCGCCTTAGCGCCCTACTGCGGACGGTTGCGGACGGTTGCGAACGCTGACACAACGCGTCGCGAACAAGGCTCTACCCCCAGCCCCCCAGAGTTAAACGAGAACCCTTCGCTACGCATTCAGGAAAAGTGAAAAAACATCACTCTTTCATCAGGTTGGCATGTAGTTTGACCCTGGAACGGACTGGCCTCTGAGCGATGCACAGCGCATCACCGAAGCTTGAGAGAAGGGTTTTACCCTTGGTTACTTTAGGGGTAAAACTACAGGAAACCATGTTTTTCACCAATCCCATGGGTTTCCTGTGGATGTTCCTTCAAAGCCTTAAATCAATTCTAGGATATTCTAGCATATTCTGAGGTGGAATTACGAACTCTTGGGCCCTTTTGCGCGTGCATCAAGCGCCCCCCGGTTCGCCCCGTTTCAGCAAAAAGGCCCTCCCAGTCGAAGCAGACCATGATCACGGTCAAGTTGTCTTGGCTCCCGCGAGCATATGCCTGAACACCGAAGGCGTTTTTCACCGGAAGCAACGCCGTTCGCCACGTCAAGGGTAGGTCTGGTAGGTATGCTGCGGTCGGTTCTGCCCTATAGGCGACGCTACGAACGCGTCCGAACGCTCCGTTCGTAGCGATGCACTGTGCTATACTAGTAATACTAGCAGCGATGCTCTTGTTACTAGCTTGAGTTCGACGGGGGCATAAGTGACCTGGACTTCTATTGGGGGATGGACATCTTCTGTGACGACATCCCGAATGTCCTTGATCACCCAAACACTATTGATCATCATTGATCTGCAGTCGTATCAACCATGTTCAACCATCACGCAACATAGCAACTTCCATGCCGACCTCTCCAACACTTGCACCTATACGACCTCCCCACCACGAGCAAGTGCTGCCTTCTGCACCAGATCACCGCAAGCTTTTCGGGCGTTCGCGGCTGGATCCTTCTCCCTCCGGAAGTTGAGTTCCATCACCACCTGGAAGTTCGGGTGACGAGGCCAGTCGCGTTTCGGCGAAAAAACACGAAAACACGCTATCCTTTGGGCAAGGGTGCCTTCTTTTGGCGCAGGTTTGGGGCAACCCATGGGGCCAGTCACCAATTCAGAAACTCCCTTTCCAGCAGTCTGTCCACCAGGGCCCACCATGCCCACAAGTCCAAACCGGGTTTTGGCACCAACCGGTCCGAAGACGAGTCCCGCTCCGCGCGGGACGTGCGGCCTCGCCTCGTCATTGGACAAAACGTCGGTGATCCCGTCCTCGGATTGGCACGATCGCTTAGCTTCCAACCTAATAGCGATGGCCTCCAACTTAGCTTCCATGATCGAAACGAACGCAAAGCTTTTGGGTTTGGCAAAGCCATGCAAAGCTGCATGAAACGGACGCCATCATGTTGTTCAGCTCAATCTTCCGGACCGTTGGGCTTCAACGTTCACCTGTGAGGACGAGTGGCGCACATCAGCGCCAAGAAGCGCATGGAACGCTTCAGGCGAAAGCTGTTCACCTGGAGAATATCAAAGACTTCGAAGGCGAAAAATGGCTGCGGGAGACTGCGGGAGTTGTATCCTTTGGCTGTTACACAGGCGATGATTTTGAGAGCTGTGAAGGCCAACCCCCCTTTTGGGCGCGCGGAACCGCGGTGAAGGCCGGCCAGTCATGCTACGCCACGCCTCAAACCTAGTAGCTTCTTGCTCCGCCTTTGCTCTGAAGTCAACGGTGCTTAAAAATAGGTGTTTGGTGTTCGTTGGAGTGTTCTTTCTTCGCCCCATCCGGACACTGACTGAGACACTCGGCCTGCTTTTTCGGATGGGACTGAATGGTCGGATGGGGGGGGCATGGGATCCTCAACAAAAAGACTGAAGCATCAAGGACTTAAAGACATGCAGTAAGACTCATAGATCCATCATAGATCCTCTGGCCAAACCCTTTGCCGATCTTCTTTTACATTCTTCTCCATGCAACACTCAGGTCGCCACACTGGGTCGCGCGATGAGAAGTGCTCGGCCGCCTCCAGCCTCCGGCAAGAGACCCCAAACAGTGTGTGTGTGTGTGAGGTCTAGAGGTGTAGCAGAAAGACACCGGTGCTTAACGATTACCGTAAGAACCCCTAGTGTGTCCACTGTTTGGGGAACATGGAGGCTCTGGTCTCAAGCTGCAGGCTCCAAGCACCCAAAATCCAACTGTTCGATGAACTTCGACCACGCAGAAGGATTTGAGATGGACGTAGCAAACCACCTCTACTCAGCCAGTCCTCCACTCAGCGGTACCCAGCAATGTACGGAAAAGGCGATGCCTTCCTTTAAACATCTTACAAAGTCCTCGTCTTCAAGTCTCCTCATGACTATGGCTTGCTGCGTCTGAGTACTGCGGGAACTACTTGTCCCAGTGCACACGATTGGCTCAAATTCCACCACAAGATCTCACAAGACTTTGCAAAGATATCGCATCGTCGAAGATCAAAAAGCTCTCCCCACCCTGTAATAGATTGGATGGTTGATTTGGCCTGAAAGTCCCTGATGATTGCTGAGGGTTTTGGCCTGAAAGTCCTATCTGTTCCGTTTCAACGGGCCCAGACCATCCGCCTCTTTGAAGTCTCGGTCCCCCATTGCACGGCTCACGGCCAGCGCCACCGGCGGCTGGCCGATGGTGCCCAAGCCTTGGGCCTCGGAAGGGAAGGTGAATGAATTCAGTTCGGACTTCACCTGGAACACCAATTCTGAACATGAACCTGGTTCTAATGAATTACAGTGTTCCACAGATTTGGAGACAAAGTCACTGTTTCACCTCAACACTTCGGGTCTGAAGGGAACCAGTTCATGTCTGCATCTGCGCATGCTCTGGCCCATCATCGTTTCTCAGGTGCTGATTCGCTCTTCAGCTCCTCGCCTTGGCTCTCCGCAACTCTCTCATCTTCTCTTCATAGTCAGCTTTCGCTACCTGGGCATTCGGCGACAAGGCAGCACTCCCAAGTAGCTTCGCAAATCGCTTATTCCATGCCAAACGCACTCCTTTTGCGTGGCAACTCTGTCAAGAACCTCTAATCTCCATGACCATGTTCGCCAACACCTTCTTGCTTTTCACATCTTTTCACCCTTTGTTCCACCTTGCTTCACCCCTCCAAAAGCGGGGCACCCGACGCGTTGGGTTCCATCCCACTTCACCACCATGCCGCCGGCGCGCTTCACCCTCTCCGCCTCATAGGGCACCTCTCCAATGGGCCGATTCAAAGGTGGAATGGAAAAGAGCTCGCAAATCTTTGGTAGCAGCATCCTTGCTCCTAGTAGCGATGCCAGGAGCCCCTAGTAGCTTCT